GGTGAACGCTCTTTCCTCTTCTCACTTACCACCTGGGAATCGCATTTACACTACTAGTACGGTTTAACGGAAATTTCTCGGCCAGTATCTTGTCTCACATGGATGGCTGTTTTAATGTCGCAGTCCTCTTCACTGAACTCGCAGTCAGCTGTAGTCAGCAAGTATTTCCAACCTTAAACACAGGCCAAGGGGGATCTGTGATTACAGTTCGGGTAATTTTGCCATTGAGTAAACTGAAATTATGTTTTTGATGGTCAAACCTGTTGCATTCAAAGCAAAGGCAGCATACGAATCAGGTTTGAGGCATGGCTCTCTGCTGATATTCAATCAAAAAAATCTCATTCCTGTCGCCAGTGTATGAATGGCAATATTTTTAGAACTTCGGACCGTCATGCAGCCGTCTTTATCGCACCTAGGCTTTGCAATGCCAGGACAAAATAGAATCCCTCATCTTCGGTCTTGCAGTCAGGACGCATTGTTGAGCGTGATTCCTAAGAACACATTAGGTCTAAATGATCGTATTTATCCTTAATGGACGGCGTTTGAACTGTTTGATCGGTCGAGTTGCTTAAAACAGATGAACTAATATCTAAAGTATGCTCGACTGTGCAATATAGTTAAGCATTAGAAGTTGCATATCATTACTGTCATTCCAAAGAGCAAACACATGTTGAAAGAAGCCAAACTCACGGTAGAGATTTCCCATAGTTATTGTTGGTCCGAAGACGACAAAAAACACAAATGGAATGCTACTGAGCACGGTAGCAATGTTATCCCTCGCAAAGGCGTCCTTGAAGTCACTGCAATACCGGTGGATCCACATGTTACAACCCAGCCAAAGTTGTTTGAATGGAGGACAGAAATTCCGTAAATTCTTTTTGCTAATTCTGGGTATCGTAGCAATATCTAGTGCCAGTCCAGACACGACGGAATGACGTCCTTCGCGACCGGCAAGGTCAGCTTGGAAGTCGTCAAAAACTGCAAATATGAACAAACAATGTATCAATTATTTTGCTCAAGTTATTTTTGGTTTGGGCATAATTTATTCACAATATAATAAATATATAAGGTAGATTTCTCTACACGCGTGTGGGTGAAGCCTGTGGCAGCACCTAATTCTTTTGTTGTGGCAACGCTGGTAGCTTGTACTTTTATCCCGAGAAAGGATTATTTCAAAGTGCTCCATTCACCAGTGGTTATAACATCAATATCGAGAGATTCTATGCTTTTCTATACAGAATCGAACCATCATGAGGTAATGCCGAGCAAGTGTATATCTAAGCTTTGCTCTAGTAACTTTCTACAAACCTTAGTAATATTGTGACAAACGAACAATGAGATCTATGAAACACTTCAGAATTAGCAGATGCGATTACTGGAAACAGGAGTTCATCAGTTTGAAGTTTCGAATTCTGGCTTCAGCCCATCATCAGAGCTAATCACAAAAAGGGTAGTGAATGCACAGGATACGCAGTACTTATAGTCTATAGCGGTTACGCGACCTTCTGCTCATTAGAATTTTCAGCTCCCATGATCACCGCTGGCTCTCTTAAGTGATGCGATGATGGCTTATCAGTCCGTGTCCAGGTTGTTAATGGTCACGATTTCATTATCCGTGTTGGATGTTGGTGCGACGCTTAGTTTCGATATCATGGAACATGTTGTTGACCCGCGC